TAAATTTTAGTTGCTTTTTTTGATTAAATCTTTTGCTTTACAAGATATTCAAAGTTGTGATGCTAATTATTTCTTCGTTCCTTTCAAGTAATTAATTGGAAATTTTACAGTACAAATTTGCCAGCTGACATATATAACCTCTGTTCATAGCCCCCACAGCTTAGATTCCGATTTCCGACACCGAAAAACGATGAACACACAAACACACACACACACATTCTTTCAAATCTACTCTGAATTCATCGGATTTTCTTTTTCGTTCGTTAATCTACACACCAATGTGGATGTGTGTTTGTGTGTGTGAATAAACGGTGAAGATAAATTTGATGTACTTTATCTGATGTAGGATCGAAATAACTGATGTTTTACGAGAGCAAATAAATATGGATAAACATCGTTAGAAGATGGTTTGAATGTGGACCTCTTTCAATGATTCTTGGCCTTCTTAGTAGTTGTGATATTATGACCATATTTATTAGATGTATGTAACTAGTATATTACTCGTGCGAGGTACGAGGGTAATTTGAAAAGTGGATTTAGAAGATTGCATGGAGAGCTCGTTGGTAATTTGATGTTCGGGAAGATAAGAGGAACCTTGAATTTAAAAAAAAGATATCGTTCAAATGTTTATGACTAAAATGACGAAATTACCCCTTTAGAAAACTCAATTCGAGCAAAAACTTAATACAAATAGTAATGATCATGCTCGCACTCAATTTTATACAAGAATTATACAATACGAGACTAAGCCGTACGAGAGATGTAAACCACATATTTGGTTAACCATATAAACTTTACCGATCATTAAATGCATTTGATACATATGAATTATGGCAGACATAATACACAATATAATATTTATTTTCCAAGTTAGGTCTTACGAAATACAGATATTGCATTTAATGTAATATCAATATAATATTAAATATTCTATTTTTTTTAAAGAAACAAAACATTTTACCCACGTGTGGATGATGCGCTCTGTTTGGTGTTTAAGGAAAATCTCAAGACTTGTTTGGTAGTAGCTGCTGCTTGTGGGCCTTCCTTTAGACCAAAAGTAAAACAAAATTCTTGTCATAAAATTGAAATTGAAATAACAAAATGTGACATATGATAATATAAATCATTAAATAAAATTATGAAAAATATTTTTAGAATATATAGAGCCAAATTCACCAAATTAAAAAAAAAAAAAAAACCCAGATAAAATTAGTCATAATCAAGAATCAGTTCTGACATAAATGCAGAGGGGGAAATTGGAGAGGCAGATATAAAATAAGAATCGCCAATTTTTTTTTCATTTGCTTCTCAAAATTCTCTGTACCTGTAATTCAGCTACCATGTTTTCATTAGGCGGAAGCTGCAGCTATCTGGTAAATTCTTTTTAGCCTAATTCAGTTCTTGAATGTTCATATTCTTATGATTAGCTAAAAATACCCCCAATTTCAAGAAAGTATATAAAAATCAAATCTTTTCCGTTCAAATCACGGAAATGGGGAAAACCCTCTTGAAATCTGAGATTTTACTATTTTAATTTGAGTTTGATTTTGTTTGTGTTCACAGAATAGCTCTGTTTATGGGGTATCAAAAAGCTTGGTACAATGTACACACAGCAGGGTATCGCCTCCTTCAATGGCGGTGGTTTCTTTGGGCTCAAATAACAGGCAAGTTGATGAAACCGCCGTATCGAAACAGAATGCTTCCCACATACCATCTTCGTCATCGTCGACGGCGGTGGAGAAAGATTTAAAATCGTCGGTTTGTGGGGGTGTGGAGGATGTGTACGGTGAGGATAGCGCCACAGAGGATCAGTACATCACTCCCTGGACTGTCACTGTCGCCAGGTACCGATTGTCAAATCGATCGATTCTACATTTACTTTGGAGTTGTTTGCTGTGGTGTTTGTGTGTAAGAAATTTGTTCGTTTGATTCGATCTCGTTTCAGTATTGTGTTGAGGAAAAGAACATTGTTTTTTTCTCTTGTAATGATTCATAATGTTTAATCTTGGAATGTATTGAATAGTGGCCTAACCCGCAGTCGAATCGAGGGTTTTAAACGAGATAAAATAACAATGCATTTTAAGATGACACAGAGTTATTGCAAATGGATTCTTGATCTAGTCTCGTGTTTTCCCAAGTTCAATATGATGCTACGTTAATCATTCTCGATGTTCTTTTTTTCGTACGAGGTTGTCGTCTATATGATTTTTCTTATAATTTAATATTTTATAGTGGATATCCGTTGTTACGCGACCCTCACTACAACAAAGGCCTTGCCTTCAACGGGAAAGAGAGAGATGCTCACTTTTTACGTGGTCTTCTCCCTCCCGTAGTTATAAGCCAAGACCTCCAGGTTTGTCATATTTCCAATATTCTTATCAAAACGCCCCTTATTTTTTGCCGTTATTTATGACTCTACCCTTTTTCTGTTAAGTAGGTTAAAAAAATGATGCGCAGCATGCGCCAGTACCAAGTCCCGTTGCAAAGGTACATGGCCATGATGGAACTTCAGGTACTTCGATTTTCTTTTGTTTTCCCCTTAACATTTGAATGGCAAACACGTAATAAAATGCATTTTTCCCCGTCATTTTCAGGAGAGAAACGAGCGGTTGTTCTACAAGCTTCTGATCGAAAATGTGGAGGAGCTGCTGCCAGTTGTCTACACACCGACAGTCGGCGAAGCGTGTCAAAAATACGGGAGCATTTTCAGACAGCCTCAGGGTCTCTTCATCAGTCTCAAAGAAAAGTACGTTTTCCGTCTGTAGTAGTAGAATCTTTCCGGAAGATTCTATTTTTGGCAATTTGAAACCGATTATGGATTGTATTTCTTACAGGGGAAGAATACTTGAGGTGTTGAAGAATTGGCCCGAGAAGAAGATTCAAGTGATCGTTGTGACAGATGGCGAACGAATCTTGGGACTTGGAGACCTCGGATGTCAGGTAATAGATTATTATTATTATTTTTTTTGAAGATATTATTTTAATTTTTAAATGTTTTTTAATCTCGATAGGGAATGGGAATACCCATAGGAAAGCTATCGTTGTATACTGCTCTTGGTGGCATTCGTCCTTCTGCCGTAAGTATATATATATATATATATATATATATATATATATATATATATATATATATATATATATATACAAGCTAAATATTCGACTACTTTATTCTCTGCTTTCGATTGCTTTTCGTTTTATGATGAGATAAAATTATTGACAATTATTTTTATTTAAATTAATACAGTGCTTGCCTGTGACGATTGACGTGGGCACAAATAACGAGCAGTTGTTAAATGATGAATTTTATATCGGGCTGAGAAGAAAGAGAGCGACGGGGCAGGTTAACTAATGATTTTTCACTTAGTGATCTAATTTGTTTTTATTTTTAATTTTCAAATCGAGCATTAAAAAAGCTAATTTGAATTTTATCTTCATTTCGCAGGAATATGCTGAACTAATGGAAGAGTTTATGTCTGCAGTTAAGCAGAATTACGGAGAAAAAGTCCTTATTCAGGTTAATAATATTAATATATATATATATATATATATATATATATATATATATATATATATATATTTTTTGAAAATTGCATGTTTTGCTAATTTTTCTACATTTTTTATTCTCTCGACATTTTTTCCGCTCCGATTGTTTTGCAGTTTGAAGACTTTGCAAATCATAACGCTTTTGATCTCCTCTCAAAGTACAGCTCCACACATCTCGTTTTCAACGATGATATTCAGGTAAATTTTGTGTATTGTTTATTGCTCATCTGAGAACTTCACTTTTCGTGTTTCTTATATTCTTTTCTGTAAAAAAATATATGTATTGTCGTTTGACCATTTTGCCCTTTCCATTAGGGTACGGCAGCTGTGGTCCTTTCGGGGCTTATGGCATCACTTAATCTAGTTGGAGGGACCTTGTCTGAACACACATTCTTATTTCTTGGAGCTGGAGAGGTGCCTTTTTCACTTATCTTCTTCTCCTTCTACTTCTTTTTTTTTTCTCGTTTTTTCTTCTTGTTCTCGTACGAGGTTTATCGAGTTTTTTTTTTCCTGATGTTATGAATACAGGCTGGCACTGGCATTGCGGAACTTATTGCTATTGAGATGTCAAAACAGGTCAAAAGCACGATAAACCTTCGTTATTCTAAAACTCAAATTAAATAAAAAAAGAAAAAAAAAATTATTGCATGTCATATTTACGAGTCGTATGATATATAGACTGGTGCTCCCTTGGAAGAGACTCGTAAGAAGATTTGGCTCGTCGACTCAAAGGTAAACGAACATCTAATTATTCTTAGTACTTATTTTCATGCAGCATTTAATATTGAAGATTCTTGATTCTTTTTTTTTCTTTTTTCTTTTTTTCTTTAATTTTATTTTTGTAGGGGCTGATTGTAAGGTCTCGAATGGAGTCACTTCAACATTTTAAGAGGCCGTGGGCCCACGAACACGAACCTGTCAAAAATTTATTAGATGCTGTGAAGGTGTGTGTTAACTCCTTCCACTCTCCGATCTTTATTTATTTATTTATTTTATTTTTTTTAAATACGAACGAGCACATTGCAAATGTGGGATTCTTACATACCGTTTTATTACAGGCCATCAGGCCAACAGTATTAATAGGGTCATCCGGAGCAGGACAAACTTTTACGGAAGAAGTCGTTCAGGCCATGTCATCCTATAACAAGGTATTAGTTATCTTGTTTTATATTAATATTTTCAGCAAAGGCCAATTTTTTTTTTTTTTTGGGGTCGAATTACTCGTAAATAAATTTTTATTTTTGTGTCAGAAACCTGTTATTCTCGCACTCTCAAACCCGACCTCACAGTCGGAATGTACTGCTGAAGAAGCTTACAAATGGAGTGAGGTAACTAATTTTATATCAAAATCGAATCTTTAATCAATATAAAGTAATATATGTAATTTTTTTTATTTCATTTTTTTAGTTTATACTTATTTCTTCTCGTCGGCTCATGGTTTAGGGCCGGGCCGTTTTTGCTAGTGGGAGCCCGTTCGGTCCAGTTGAATATAACGGGAAAGTTTATGTTTCAGGCCAGGTTGGTTAATTATATCCAAACACTCCCTCCACTAATATTTATCTAAGATATTTATATTATATTACTAATAAATTTCGTCGTTTATTTTCTTGATTTAGGCGAATAATGCATACGTGTTTCCTGGATTAGGCCTGGGCTTGATAATTTCCGGTGCGATTCGAGTCCACGATGACATGCTTTTGGCAGCTTGTGAGTTCTTGATAATTAAATATATTTTATTTTTATTTTATTTATTTATTAATTTTTTTCTTACTTACATATCCCGTTTCTTGAAATAGCGGAAGCGTTAGCCGAGCAGGTTAGCCAAGAGAATTTAGACAGGGGACTAATATATCCACCGTTTGCAAATATACGAAAGATTTCAGCTCAAATAGCAGCTAGAGTAGCTGCTAAAGCCTACGAACTCGGTAAATATCCTGTGTAATTTATTATGTGCTAAATATCATGTAATATTTACGTGTTTATTATGTCTGAATATTGTACGGGTTTTGATTTTTGCTGACAGGGCTGGCGACTAGGCTACCGCCACCGGAGAATCTAGTGGAATATGCCGAAAGCTGTATGTACAGCCCCAACTACCGTAACTACCATTGAACCAGTGGCGCTTTTCGTCCCTAAATTATTAGTTGACAATTTTTCGACATTTTATTGACAGTTTTTCTTCATTTTATTTTTATTTTTATTTCAAACTTTTGGGGTCCGTTTTCCTTCCAATTCTTCAAGTCTCATTTAACACACAAAATGCCGAATTTTGTTCAGATTTTATGACAATGAGAAAACAGCTTTGAGTTTGGGCAAATTGAGCTCTGTTTGGCTGTGTTATACTATTGAGTTTATTGCATTTGTTACCCCTACATTATATTGAATTGCTAAAGAACCCCTCAAGTTATTAATGTTAGCAAAATTTCCTCTACTGGTTAGATGGTGAGTTTTTAAGGGCGTAGTTGCTAAAAAAAATAAAGTTATAGGGGGGCTTTTGCTAATAATCCAATTAAATGAAACCTGAAGGTGAAAAATTGACTTTCTGGCAATCATTTCAAATTATTAACATAAAAAGTATTGCAGTAGTTTACACACTTAATATAATTAATTAATAGCAAAATTAAGAGAAAAAAAATGAAAATGTAATTCAAGTCTATGAAAATGAAATCAAGCCTCTATATACAGCAATGCCTCCACATTTGTCGCTGAGGATCTGCATTTGATGTACACGCAGTCGAAATGTAAAAAACTAAATTATCATGAAAATGATGGCAATGTCCCGAATTTTTTTTTAATAAAACTGTGAAACATGTTGGCGGAACGGCTTACCGTGTTTTACACGAAAGTAGTTTTCTTTTCTCTATTTCCCTCTCACATTTTCATTTTCATAATTTCGAAATCCTTCGATTCTATCGAGTCTTGAGAGACTGCTCCTTTTACTCCTCCGTCGAAATTCTGTCATCCAAACACACCATAAACATAACTAATGTGAAAAAACAACTCAAATATAGTAACCTAATTTCAACTCCTAACTAGATGTAAATCATTATAAGTAAACCATCCATCTTCCACCAAGAAAACGAAAACGAAAAACAAGATACAATACAAGTAACTAATGAACCAAAAGACGAACAAAGTACCTTGCAAATTTACCGGGATTGAACTCCTTCAACGCGACTCCAATTTTTTCGACTCCTTCAAGCACAGACAGCGCTGTTTTTATCTTCACAGTAAGAACATAAAACAAGACAAGACAAAAGTGATTTTCTAACATACAAACAAAGTACTAAAAAATCAGATACAAAAACAGTTGACGAGTAACATGTTTCATAAGATTTTTCTCTACAAATTCATGTCTTCTCGTCTAATAGAATGTAACGCCAGCTCAGCTCACCTACTAAATTTATAAATCTAATAAAAAAAAAATTCTGATTTCATGCGAAACAAGATAAGTTCCCTATCATAAATAAAAAAAAAAAAAAAAAAAACATACGGGGACATAAGACAAAAAGCAGCCAAATTTAAATGATTAGTACCATGTCAGTGCACAAATATCGTTTTAATTAGCCAAAACAAAGCATAAACAATTTTATTACAAGAAATGCTAATAAAATATAATTACATCAAGCACGACCCGGAATCTATCGTTTTCTTATTATTTTAGTTTCCCATTTTTCCATGAAAACTCGTTTAATTACGTTGAAAAAATTCGCAGAGTTTGCTGCAAGTAACCATTTTAAGTGCTTTTTTTATAAAATAAATTCTTCAATGAGCAAATATAGAAAGTAAATAGGAATAAGAAAAGAACACTCTCAATTAATTACATTTAATACACCAAACCCTCGAAAATCTTATTTTCGACACAGCATTGCATTTATGGTTTATTTTGCCTTGCCAAATAAAGTACCTCTTCGCATTGATGCCTACCATAGATCGGAATCCTCACGAGTCTTCGTTTATAGCCAGTGTTCAATTCTGTCAATTACATACAGCTAATCAGTAATTAATTCACTTATCAGCAAAAAAAAAATGGTAGAGAAAAATGACCTACGATAACATTAAACCATATAAATGCATTCTTGAAACGAAACAAATGCTATAGGCACCGCAGAATTAAACCATATAAATGCATCGTTGAAACGAAAAAGAATTGCTATAGGCACTACCTAGCTACTTCAGGTTGGCTTGCGTATCAAGGTGTCAGTCAAACGAGACCATAGTCCCCTCGGGAGTTAATATGTTTAAATATTCATGAACCACATGTGCCTTACAAATTACAAATAAAGCGTGCATAGTTGATAAACTCATCATCGGTTTGATAGAGAATCGAACCAAATAAATTCTTACACTGTCTCGAGAACAAAGTCGTCCATATTTTATTTAAATGATTGTAATATCTCTCCTTGCTGTCATCTTTCTATTGACAGAAAAACGCCAGCTAAGGTATTACGCACAAAATTTAATGTTAGCTTATAAGTTTTCGAAGCTCAATTTAAGACATGCAAGCTTAGGACAAGTTTCAAGAAAACGAAAAATTAATAAAAGTAAATCGGGCCATTAGACGGAAACCAGCATTAATACATAATTAATATTACTAATATCTCAGCTATTTAACAGTTGAGACAAACTAAAAGTTCATAGCCAAATCACCACATAAGTTTAATTACTACATAAAAGACAGAATTAAAAGACGACGGTGAATAATATACACCATAATACAAACTTCTTACAATTGACTTAGCTTCACCTTATTTCTTGAACCAGTACCGTTGACTTTGAGCACAAATTCTTTTGATTTCCCATTTTACCCTCAGAGAGAAAGCGACGACTCAGCTTCCATAGCAGCGGTCTCACCTAAAGTCAGCTTGGACATGGCTACCACTTCAACCATAGAAGCTTCCGGAACAACTGGATTCTGAACAAGAGAAGTTCCCTCTTCATCTTCCTTGAGCGGATACGCATTCGACGGCCATAGATGGAAGGGCAAAGTCGTAAAAGTCGGCTTGAGAGAAAGTTCTAGAGAGGGAGCATTGTTTTCGGTAAGAAGTGGTGGAGGCATTGGTGCATTTATCTCCTGATACTTCTCATACAAAATGAATTTTTTTTATATTAAAATAAAAAATTAAAAAGTATATATATATATATATATATATATATATATATATATATATATATATATATATATATATATATATATATATATATATATATATATATATATATATATATATATATATATATATATATATATATATATATATATATATATATATATATATATATATATATATATATATATATATATATATATATATATATATATATATATATATATATATATATATATATATATATATATATATATATATATATATATATATATATATATATA